TGTTGGTGTTGTTGTTGGTGTTGTTGTTGGTGTTGGTGGTGGTGTTGGTGGTGGTGTTGGTGGTGGCGGCGGTGGCGGCGGCGGCGGCGGTAGTCGAAATAGCGGCAGCGTGCTTCTCAACAGTTACAAGAAGGTCAAGCAAAATGACACTGACTTTGCTAACAGCTATGTAGTCTTTCCCGAGGTTGCAGTCAGAATCAAAGTTTGGCGGCTAACCTAGCGAGGAGACTAGGACCCGGACAGCTTTTTGCGCTTGTCGTGTTTGGGAGTTTTCAGCAGGATGCACGAACAACGCCATCAGGACCGTTACTCAGTAGGTCAAGCCTCCAATCCAAGCAGGCGGGTTCGCCGATGTACAGTACCTCCAAGATATCAGGATCTGTATCTGTGCAGACCGTCGCACGTGCAAAACCCTGTAGTCACTACTGTAGTTTTTGTAAAAAACCATAACATGTTGTTTTTAAAGCCCACTGAGGAGGGACGTTGACAGTATTTTTAAACAAAGCCGGCGAGTGCTGTTGGATACAGTTGATGGAGGAACTCTTGCACAAATTAGGGCTCCGAAGCTACTCTACTTTTCAGCATTTGGGGAACTGAGATAAGGGTTTCCCTCCTTCAACAGCAGGCCGCCGCCGAGCATGGCCATGTCGAGATGGTGGCTTGGCTTTGCGATGCCGATGCCGACCTGGAGCCATCTGAGATTTTCTGAAGTCAACCGCTTTCAATTACCGTCCGCCTTGAATCATCAACCCCCGCTATCTAGTGGCACCCATGCCGTGTTTTACAGATTTTCCAGTAAGGGGGCGGGTTGACGGGGACAATTATCATGTCTCTCTCAGCCACCAAGAAACTCACCTCGAACTTGGCTGGACTAGGGACACCCTTATGGTTTGCAGCAGTACATGTGGCAATTCAGGGGGTCTTCCCCCAAGATTATTGCTACATATTGCTATTATGTAATTTTGACAAGCTTGCAAGTACCTGGTGTCTCACTAGTTGTTGTCGGCACCTGCTCAAGGCTTTCGCATCATAGCGTGGCTAAGCAATGATAGGATCTCTGCAAAAGGATTCTTCTGAGGGTACATCGAGGGGCCCTGAATCTGATATCCGTCAGGGGAGGAGATCAGGGTTGTGTGGAGTGTTCTAGGAGCCTTAGCGGGATTGTTCGCGCCTTTTTTAACGGCAGTATTTTTAGTTGCTTGGGTTCTCTGAGCCCCCATTCTCAGGACCAAGAAGCAACTCCTAAAACTGAGGTCAACAATACTTCTGTTCCAAAGGGGTGCACAGATTTCGACCTCCAAGCCCTAAAAACAAACTACCCTAATCACAGCCTCTAAACTCTAAACCCATAGGAGACTCACGAAACTGAAGAAGCCATGACGCCGCTCTTGATTGCCTGCAGCTGCGGCGAGGTGGATGTTGCCCTATCCTCAGCTGAGGGGGTTTTCTAGTAGATATTGGGGTTATATTGGGGATATATAGGGAACTACTATAATGGGGTTATATTGGGGCTTTATAGGCAGAATGGAAAAGAAAATGGAAGCTATAGTATAATTGGGTATATATTGGGGTTGTATTACAAGCATGGTGGCTTCAAAAAGTTTCGGGTACCGTTACGTACCCCCATAAGTGAGACAAGGTGCCGATCATCATGGTCGCCCGAAACGTCGCACGTTGTTAATGCTTCAAAATAGTAATGAAGTGGTCGTGTGGAGGCTATGTAGTCCTAGTTACATTTGGAGCATGGGGGTTTCTCAAAAATATGTGCCCTCCTCCAGGAAGGCAGCAACAAAGAGTCCGTTGAGGATACCATTTGAGTTCTCATGTTTTTGAGTGGCCTCGGCCTCAAGAAACAGAATAGAATTGAGGGAGGCCAATACAGTTTGTTGGGCCTTCACGTCTCCCGCTTTGACCCCCCAACAAAACCCACACTGATACACAAATTCGGCAAAATCAAACTTGTCAGGTGAACCTGCTCTTAGAGCGTCGGGCAGACCTTGGCAAAGTCACCTGTCATGGGAACCCGGCGCAAGACCTTTTGCTGGCTTGCCTGGAGTGGCAGCAGCATCCTGAAAGGATTTTGAAGATCCGTAGCTCGCTTGCATGCTGCAGAAGTCACAAGCTTAAGTTGCGTATGAAGCGCAAGTGGTAGCTCCAAAACACATTTTCTTAAAACAAAACATGCTAGGTGAATTGGCTCGCCATCTGAGCACACTGGGAAGTTCGTCCGGCCGACCTGGTGCAGCACCCGACGGCTGAGGCTGCGCAAACAAAAAGGAACGTCAGGAAGGTTCAAGGTCATTCAGAACATAGCAACGGCAACGGGAGCTCCTTGTCGCTCAAGCACAAGACGGCCTCCACAGAATAAGAAGACAACCGCAACAGTTGTTCAGCGTCATCACTTGGAAGGCCGCGGCCATTTACCATTTCGTGACGTGGCATTTCTCTGGCATGGGCTTGCTTTTGCTAAAGAATGGACGCCATGAGCTTTTGCTGGGAGGATCCTTCCTTCTGCAGAAATCTGCCAAACGGGCACCAAGAAAAGCCAGAGCACAGGTTTGGTAGGACTTCCCTTGCACCAGTTCCGTCTCACGTAGCAGACCAGTGCATCTGGACGCAAGCCCACAACAAAAAAGCAGCCATACCCATCAGCGATGAAGGTAGCTCTAGAATGTTTCATGACAATGGACTTCTGCGCAGGATCGGAGCATCACTTTGGCAGCTGCAGGCCTTAAGGCCGCATATTTCTGCTGAGTGCCCGATGTTTTTGCTGACCTGTCCCTATTTGTTTCAAAATCAACTACCCCCGTACAACCCTGAATAGCGACCCTGAAACAAGCATGTTTTTTTGTAATCCGAACGTATCCCATCAGGGGCCCTTTGCTGAGAGATACATGCTGAGATGCGCTAGGGCCAGTGCACGCTGCTCGTGGAGTTCACGGATGATTGAATGAGCCTGGACGTAACTGGAAGGTTCGTTTCGGCTTGTGGTTCTGTGCAATGTGGGCGGGAAACTGTGCGAGGATCTGCTCGTTAGAAAGGGACGCGGGATTTTCAGCACAAAAATCCCTACCATGTTGCGCTTAACGAAGACTGCTGGAATTCTTGCATAATTATCGCTTTTAATGACAGCGATGATATGAAGTGCATCTTGACCCTGCCCACGTTCGGGAATGCCCGCGCTTTGGGGACACGAAGTGCCTCAAGCATGGGAGAATCCCGGAGCATGGAACTGAGCTTTCTAGGAATTTCTAGGTGATTTCTGATTTCTAGGTGAACCTGCAGTGAAGCGGTCCAAGCGCCCGCTTGCATGGAATAGGGTTCGAGTCCTCCCCGGAATGATTTTGGGGGCCTGCTCTGTGAGAGATCTGGCCCCGTCAGATTCCTCGCAAGGCCTCGTGTAGGCGTGCAGGTTGCCTGCGAAGAGCCAATAAAAAATCCTCAGCTGGGCACGCCAAGAATATGGTGGTTTCCAAAACTTGGGTACCCCTTTTTTTTGTGTGTCCCCATATAACGGTTTATTGCAGCATCCAAATTGGGGCCGCCTGTTTATGGGATCCCCATATTCTGCATCGACTCTCATCTTGAGATGTTGCACAAACTACATGCAGATCACCCACAAAAAATCACAGCCCTGATTACAGCCACAAAGAAGGCGAACCGAAACCCCAAACCCTAAACCCTACACCCCAAGCCTTAACCCCAAACCCTACACCCCAAACCCTACTCCCTGAACCCCAAACCCTATCCTTGAGAGAAGCCAGATTCTCTGCTCCCAGCCTTCTCGGATAACGCGCGCCTTGAAGGCTTGACAGGCCTGAGCCTGGCAGATACTGGGGTATGTGGCACGTTCCAAAATTTAGGGGCCCCCTTTTTGGAGATCGCTGTAATGAGGAATATAGGACTTGGGGGTGTACAAAGGGGACCCAAATTTTAGAAAGCTTCCATGTGTGACAGCTTATCACTTACGGTGTAGGGACTACGGATTTGAGGAGCTTTCCTCCCACGTTTGCTATGACTCAATCTCCCGACCCTCATCGCGCATCTGATTTGTATTCTTGCTACTTTTGCAATCATTGCCATGTAGCAACTTCTTGAATTATCATCCCTTACCTTACTTCTGGATCTGCTGGTACGGTTCTTATGCTGAGTTTATAATTTTTGCAAGCTTGCATAGAATGGATCCCAAATGTAGCCCTAATCCTTTCTTTACTTATATATACATATAGTAATTTCCATGTTCTTTTCCATGTTTCGATTCGCCATCAAGGACAGCTAGTTAACCCTGAACCCTCTGCCCCCTGTGTCTTTATGAAGCCCAGTGCCCATTCCATTTTCCATTTGACTCTTATTGGGGTACTATCCCTGTATCATCCTTGTTATAATATTGTAGCTTCCCTGTTTAATCCCTATTATAATAAGGTAGCTTCCATTTTTCCCAGGTTTCCCTACACCCTAAACTCTGAACCCTAAACCCTAAACAGCATAGCATCCCAAGCCATGGCCAAGCGCTGCCTGAGTCGCCCACGCGCCCGGTGGGTCAGTGACTCAAACATGCGAACAGCGGAAAATTGCATAAACATCAGGATATAGTCTAGTATAATTCTCCAGAAAATATCACAATATACCATCACATACTATAATATACTATACTCTGACACAATATATTATAATTTACTGCTATATATTATGTTATATACTACAATATACCTTGATATGTCATAGTATACTATGGTATAGTACACGTAGTATATGTAGGACGGCCGCAAAATCCTCGCTGGCAGTTCTTGCGACCGTTGCTGCTGGCGGCCTGTCTTCATGTGGGGCACAAAGCCGCCTTTGCAGCACCGATGGATCCCTGGCTTGGCAAATCTCCTTTTGCCCGTAGCATTCCTCTTTTTCTTTATCATGGCTCCTCTCTTGCAAATATGAATAGGTCTGACCCTTCTGAGGTCTAAGGAGCGTACCGGAGGTCCTTAGTCCTTGCGAGGGGCTTCATGCGTTAGAGAATCACGGCCCACTAAGTCGCCGCGCAATTGCTAGGGGCTCACCTTGTCCCACATACAATATTATCGTGCAGGTGCTGCTCGGGCAAATGCACCTTTACCGAAGGGACGGGACATGCCAGTAGCCTACGCTGCGCAGATCAGATTGAATTCGTAAACTGACTGTAAACGCAGTGCAGCCTTTGCCTGTGCAAGCACCGTATTGCAGAACACGATCTTGCCAAACTCATCAGAGACTTGTTTTGGTCAACCTTGCCTGATACAAGACACCCTGAGCAGAGTTTTGCCCCACGATGCATCATGTCGGCCGCTTTGTGACAACCTGAAAAAGACTTCATCTGCACTGCTTAGAACTTTGAATGCCCCTTCGTTCTTCAGCGCTCTGGTCTTATTGTATTACTTGTCCAAGCCGGCAGCCCGAAACCAACGGCAGGCCTTCGTTACAAATGCTAAGCTCGAAGTCTGAAAGCCTCATCCTGATGCCAGTGGCAGCAACAACCAATGACCCTGGTAGCAGCCCCTCACCCCAGCTTCTAAATCCTGAGCCCAACGAGCCTTGCCCTTAATTAAGCTTAATTCGCAAGTCCTTTGCTGTACTGCGGAAGCCTAGGCAGAATAGTGAAGCTCTGCCTGTATGATCTTGCAGTCAAAGAATACGAAAAGTATGAAAGGTCGTTTTTAGGTCCCATATTGGGAGACCATG